TGTGGCACTTCCTAGACTCCCACGCATTTTTGAAAGTTCTCTGAAGGTCTAGCTGACTAGATTTCTCTGCTGATGTTTTAATTTTTGTTAAATTCACTGTTTTTGATGAGTTTCCTTAGCTCCTCATGAGGCCTGATTCTTATGCTTCTGTACAGCTTCTCAACATAGCAAACTCATCTCCCTTGGGGGGCCAGGAGGAACTGGGTGTTTGTTAGAAGGGACAGGACACCCTGCACCCCACTTCCCATCTGGCCCTTGCTCTCCTGCTGTGTTCTGTGTCAGTATTGTGTATAAGCTAAGAAAGAGGGAGCAGCAGCAGAAGTAGACCCCCCTCTCCCCCGAAGATGGAGGCATCCCAACTGGCATTAGTGTCCCTGAGAAACCTTGGCTGGCTCCGCTTGTCCCTTGCCCTGGACCTGCTTCTTGGGCCACAGTGCTCTCTGTTTTTTCATAAGTTAGTGCTGCAGTAGATGGAGGTCTAGACAGCGTTGGGTCACTGGGCTGGGGCAGAAGGTGTGATCGCGCTTTGGGCTTGAGGTGGAGACACTGCAGGGTGACCGGAGACCTCTGTGGCTCAGGCTCTCTGCTTAGCAAGTGAGACTTCCTTCATGGAGTCCCAGTAAGCACACATTTCCTCTTCAAGACCTTACCATATTTTGCCAGCTACAGGAGTGTGAAGCCCCTAGCTGACCCTGCATTTCAGCCAGTCAGAAGGAGTGGTTTTCATTCTTCCTGGCATAAACCTGAAACTCTGACTTTGCCTGCGTGTGCTGTAGTAATTCTTTCTCAAACGAAAGAACCAATGACCCAGTTCCCTCGGAACGGATGGGTGTGATTGGACTCATAGTCTCACAGGTGCAGTCTGTGGGTGCTTGGCTAGACCCTCTGGCTGTGGGAGGGTGGCGGGGAGGAGGCAGAGTGAGACTGGAAGGGGCAGAGAACCAGCTACATCCTACAAAGGCACACTCCAGTGACCTACCTCTCCACGAGACCCCACAACACCAAGTCCAGAACGTCCCAAAAGAGTACCGCCAACTGTAGACTAACTGATACCTGAGCCTGTAGGGGACATTTTCCGTTCAGATCATGACATGCACATTTATGCAGAGTGGCAGACATCACATTACTGCCATGACACAGAGACTGCAGTGTTCCCCCAGCTGAACGTGGTGTGGAACCTGCAAGTCTTGCTGGAGGGTCTGTGTGGGGCTCTTTAGTCAGGCCCCAGGCCCCAAGCCTCTCAGCCCACAGCCGAGGCTGACCTGATGGGCGCCTGCAGGTCAGACTGTCCCCAGGGGAAGATGTAGGCTGCATAGCTGGACGCCCATCAGTGCTGCTCCTTGGTGGCCCTCCCTTTGCTCTGGCTTTTCTCTCTCAGTCCTCTGTCGCCCCAGCTTGGCTTTTGGTTTCTTAGACTTAGTTTCTGGGTCCTAGGCAGAAAACACCAAGTACTGGGGGCTGTACGCATTCATTTCCTGGAGTGTTCTCAACTCTTGCCGGAAAGCGTTCCTCTTCCTGCCAAGGCCACAGCCTATTCTAACAGGCCTAGTGGGGACTCCTCTGGAGGGGGCTCGTTGGAGAAACTGAGTTCAGAGGCATGTGCAGAGAGGGTGGAGGATGGCTGGACCACTGTGAGCTTTAGTTCCCTCCAGGGTAAAGGAAGATTGGCTGTTTCTCTCTGTGACTGAGGCTTAGAGTAGGGGACTATGGAAGGACCTGGCTGTATCCAGCAAGTGCCAGTTGTCTGGTGTCTCTACTCCAGATGAGGGTTCTTCCTTAGGACCTCCAGTTCTCCTTTCTGTGTTATAAAAGCTTTGTTACAAAATGTCTGGATGATTTTCTTTTTCCAAAGTTTCTGCTACTGCCCTGGGACAGATGATCCCAGGCGGGGAGCTTACCAGCAAACTTAAGAGAACCTGGGGACTGATCATCCCGCTTGCCCATCGCTGCTGCCCACTTACGCCTTGGTAGGCAATGGTACAGGAGGCATTAGCAAGGTCACACTGCTGCAGGGAGAGTGTGGGGGTGACCCATGCACCCCAACACTCTGGTTTGTAAAATGCAAGATCCAGATTTAATGGAATCAGGGGAACCTAGGAATGTCTTACGCATTCCACCTCATACTTGACACCCTCACTTGATGGCAGGAACTGCCCTTCTAGAAAACACTTTACCATGGCTGGTGACTTCAGGGTGATCTCTCCCAAGCCTTGCTGTGAAGTTCTTTCTTGATGTCTGGGTGTCAAGTCACCTGCTGGAGAAGAAGGGGTGCTCTGGGCCTTTTCTGTGCACCCCATCACCGCCTCCAGAGCCCACCCTCATGACGCTGCAGACTTCTCTTCCTTTTCTTAATACAAGTGTGTGGGTCATCCCTTCCCCAGGGGCTGGTGACCCCTGGAGGCCTGTTACATTCAAGGGCATAAGGAGGTCCTGCTCACTATCTCTGCCCCCTTTCCATAGAGTGGAAGAGACAATGGTGGGCTGCTGTAGTCTTTAAAGCAATGCCGGAAAACTCAGCCCATCGCTTCCTGGCACTCACAGAGCAACCAGTGAGAACCAGGCACTACAGTAACCACTTGGCTGCCTCTTTCCCTCTTCCCAATAACAATGTGCAGTGTTGATGTTAATGTCATCCCCATTAGAGACCCAGGCTTAGAAGGTTAAGTGAGTCATCAGCATGAGTCGCCCAACAGAGTGACAGGGTGAGGTTTAAATACAGCCGCAGAGCCCAGGCACCCCGCACCCCTCACCCTGCGTGGGATGTGGGAAAGCGCTTGCCTCATCTGTGGGGGGACTAGAGAGAAAAGGGGGAGGCAAGGGGAACCAGGCAGCAGCTGGTTCTTATGCCTGTGATGCATCCCCAGTCCAGTAAACACTTGATGGGGACAGGGAGTGAGCTAGACCAGGGACTCAGCTCTGCTGGACCCCAAGGCCACGTGAGTTGAGTGAGTACTGCTCAGAGTCCAGCACACACGACAGCTGTGTGTGCAAAGCAATGCATTTCTCATTTTGCTGTGGACAAAGCCTCATGTCACAGTCCCTTCCCAGAGGAACACATTCACAGCCACCCCTGAGTGGGACCTAGGTCTTCTGTCCTTGTCCCTACACAGCCCCATCTCTGCTGGGAGACTCATAGTCTTGGGCATTTGCCTTCTAAATCTAACCCATTTAGACAACCATTTGGTTTATGCCATTTTTTTTCTTTAGAAGAGATGGAAAATCACTGCTTTGCCTGCTAGTCATCTATGACCAATGTCCCATCAGACTTCTCTTTCTTGGGACAAAGAAGTCCTTTTTCCTAGGGCCTGAGGAGAAAGCTCATTGAGGAAAGCACGTGCTGCGTGGGAATGAGAATCTGCCTTTGATCCCCAGAATTCACATAAGAAGCCAGGCATAGTACATGCTTGTATTCCCAGTGCCGGAGAGGCAGAGGTCAGTATCAGATCCTGGGCCTCGCTGGCCAGCTAGCCTAGCCTAATCTGTGAGCCCCAGTTCCCAGTGAAGGTAGATGGTGCCTGAGGAGGAATATTCAAGGTTGACCTCTGACCTCCACATGCATGTGTGCACCTGCATTGAATCGCCCATGTAGCCTGCTCACCCATGGGATGCCCTTCTCCTTAGACTTCCTAAACTCAGCATAGTTCTGCCCATGATGACTGGCTTTTTTCCTGTTCCCTGTTCTTTTTATGATCGCTTGATTGCTTTCTAGAATTTTCTCCCATCTGAGACAAAGCTGCTGTCAGGGCCAGTGTCAGTGAGGTGTACCTCCACGGTGCTCAGTTTTAGTATGTGCTGGGGTGTATCCTTCCTCTTCGTCATCCCCTCCTCTGCCCTGGTGCTCCACAACCTACATCAAGTTTCTTAAACATTTCCCACTTGTGGCCATTAGGAGGAGCCAGGTGTGTAGGTATGTGAAATGGGTGCATAAATCAAGTATTTACTCATAAACTGTACATTTATTTAACACCATTCATATATATGAATCTTATATATATATGAATTCATATATATATGAATGATTATATTTATATATATATATAAAATCTTACCACTTATTAAAGATGGAGCACGTTGTATACCAGTGGGATGGATGTGTTTGTTGCCTTAATTCAACCCAAACATGTGCTGATTTGATCCTTACATGTGTGCAGTGACAGCAGGACAATGCTTAGTCTGTTCTCCGTAATTTAGCCGTGACACTTCCATGAGAGTAGAAAGCGTCGCATGCATTGTTACAACACTGCAGTTCCTAACTTCAGTTTGCTTTGTAGAGCTCTGATAAACACCATGACCAGAAGCAACTTGAAGGAGAGGGTTCATTGGATTTACTTCCACATCAGACAGAGTCCATCACTGAAGGAAGTCAGGGCTGGAACCCGGAAGCGTGAACTGAAGCAGAGGTCCGGAGGAATGCTTCTTACTGGCTTGCTCCTCCTGGCATCTTCAGTTACTTCTTACTTATGACCTAGGCCCCTGCCCAGGGTTGGCACCTCCCACAGTGGACTGGGTCTTCCCATATCATTAAGAAAATGCCCCACAGACATGCCCAGAGGCCAGTCTGTTTGAAGTAATTCCTCAACTGTCCTTATTCTTCCTACATGACTCTAGCTTGTGTCAAGCTGACAAAAAAACTAACTAGTACGATGACATACAGTCTTGGCTGTGAGCTGAGGTGCTTCAGGCAGCGGTCAGGGCGCTGCGTGGTGTGGAGTATGCACTGTGCGTTCAGAACTCAGGCGGCTGGGAAAGCGTGCGGCACTACATCGATGAGCACTTCCAGAAAGTCTTGCGTTTGTTACCCATGGGAGTTGGAGTTTTTGGTCATTGCATATTCAGAAACCTTTACTGTCAAAGGTTTTCGATGCCTGTATTCAGTTGGTGTGTGATGTGACTCAGGACAGGAAGCTTTGACTTGGACAGCACTTAAGATCCCGGAGTCAGTGGGCATGGGGTGCAGGACCATGCTTCATTCATTTGGAACTATCTGCTTCTCTTCGCAGGTACCCAGATAAGCTGCTTCTCCCCAAGTTCTTTCTCCTGGCGACAGGCTGCCTTCGTGGATTCATACTGCTGGGCGGCTGTACAGCAGAAGAGCTCCCTGCAGAGCGAGTCCGGAAACCTCCCACTGTGGCTGCACAAGGTAATGAGATGGGTCGCACCTGTCGTGCTTGCTTTACAGATCCCGAAGTGGAGGCCTGGGGAGGCTGCCCCCCTACAGCCATGCAAGCGTGTGTGGTCAGCACACTGGAGGAACCTCAGCAGTGACTTCAGACATCGACAAGAAATACGCTTTGAATTGTAGCTTTCCAGTAATAGGCATCTTGTACATCATTGTTTCCTTTGTGTCCTTAATTCCCCTGTAGAATGTCTGGCCCATGGTGGGCCCTTGGTACCTTTTGAACATCCAAATAAGCAGAGCTGGGGTGTGAACATTGGCCAGAGCCTTGTTTGTGGCACCTGGGGTCACTTAGAAAAAGTACAGATGAACATATAGTGGAGTTGCTTCCGGCCCTTGGGTTGCTGGAGCACCCAGAAGCCTGGCCATGAATCCTGGGTGCACAGCTCTTGATGGGTTTCTGATGAGTGCATGTACTAAAAGGAAGGAGAAATACTACACAAGAGGCATTCTTAACCAGGCTGTTCAGATTAGAGAGAAGGGTGCAGGGCAGGGCACTGCTGGGTGGGAGTAGACAGAGATTACAGAGTAAGAAACTGCAGCTGGAGCCAGCAAGTGTGGGCAGGAGAACACTCTTACACTTTCAGTCTTCTCTGGCAGTGGTGATGTGACATCTGTGAGTGATTATTACACCTTGGGTCTTCTCTGTGAGTGAGGATGGACACTCTGGGTCTTCTGTAAGTGATGATGTGACACCTTGGGTCTTCTGTAAATGATTATGTGACATCTTGGGTCTTTTCTGTGAATGATGATGTGACACTCTGGGTCTTCTGTAAGTGATGGTGTGACACCTCAAGTCTTCTCTGTGAATGATGATGAGACATTTCAGGTCTTCTGCAAGTGATGGTAGACACTTTGGGTCTTCTCTGTGAGTGATGATGTAACACCTCG